TGAAATGAACCTCCGAATTTAATAGCTGTTTTCATCAGTATTATGTATACATTTCCTGGCCCAACCAACTGGTCCCAAATAACCGAATCAAAGGCTGAATATGAATTATAAATGCTTGGTCAATAGCTCAGGCTTGTTAATAGCTAACTCTTTCACTTAAATTAACCCATATTTCTATTTATGCTTTGCTATGTGGCTCATGGCTCATTACCTCAATTTTACAAGTCCTGTTTGCTCGGCAGCTGGCTGGCATCTCTGAAGTCCACCCTTCTCCTTCCCTTCATCCTTAGTTTGGTTGTCCCATCTATACTTCCTGCCTGGCTACTGGCCAATCAGCATTTTATTAAACCAGTTTGAATGAGAAATGTTTACAGTGTACAAGAGGATTATTCCACAACAGTGTTAGGTAGCATCCTCTTCATGAGACCAATGTAGGTATCCTGCATCATTCTTTTTCCTAGTGTACCCCATAAATTATCAAGCCTGGTTTTTCCAGTATGGTTTTAATGTACCCATGCATTTATATAGTTGCAAGCTACTTAGATAATTTCATGGGGTAATACATTTACTATAGAACTAAGCTATCTATTAGTTTGTATAGTCGTAAGTTTTATCTGGTCCCACCCAGCCCCATGATCCCACAGCTGCTTATAAAATAACCACTCAGACTGGGGGCTGGAGAGATGGCTCAGAGGTTAAGAGCACTGACTGCTCTTCCAGAGGTCCTGAGTTCAATTCCCAGCAACCACATGGTGGCTCACAACTACCTGTAATGAGATCTGGTGCCCTCTTCTGGCCTGCAGTCACATAAGCTGTATACATAATAAATAAATAAATAAATAAATAAATAAATAAATAAATAAATAAATAAATAAATAAATAACCACTCAGAGCCAGGAAGTGGTGGCGCACGCCTTTAATCCCAGCACTCGGGAGGCAGAGCCAGGTGGATCTTTGTGAGTTCGAGGCCAGCCTGGAGCATGATCCAGGAAAGGCGCAAAGCTACACAGAGAAACCCTGTCTCAAAAAAAAAAAAAAAACCTCAGAGGCTTAATATTATTTACAAACTGTATGATCTATGACAGGCTTCTTCCTAGCTAGCTCTTATAGTTTAACTCAACCCATAACTATAAATGTATATATCGCCACATATTCCATGGCTTTACCTGCATCCCATTTCTCTCTTGACTCTGCCTTTCTCTTTCCTGTCTCTCTCCTTGGATTTTCCCCCCTGCCTCTAAGCTGCCTTGCCATAGGCCAAAGCAGCTTATTTATTGACCAATGGGAACAACATATATTCACAGAGTACAGAAAGACATCCCCTAGCAAGTTTGCATATCATGGATAGCGCTAGACAGGTGGAAGTGCCTACATGTATAACAAGGTGCAAAGTCATTCTGCCTCTGCATTTGCACTCAAAAATGGAGGCAAATATTGTTTATAAAATGGAAAAAGGCATAGCCTGAAAGCCAATGTGTTACACAATTCAGATCAACTTAGAGCAGAGCACAGCCTGATTGCAACAAGAGTCTTGAGAGACACTGTAAGTCACCTGATAACTGAAAGTCAGAGAATGGGTAGACATGCTTATAAAGCTTTTGTACCTTACAGGTGCCACTTGCAACATTACTCTGTATAATTTGGCCTTTAAACTTGTAGCAGAAGTATTCGCATTCTATTTTCCCCCACCCCTGCCCACTCCTCCTTTTATTTAATATGTGGTTGTTCTGATATCACTCTGACCTTTTTCCAGCATGTACAGATACTGCAGCTAGTCATGCAATTCTCCTTTAAAAATACATTTTTATTCTAAACAGGAACATGAAAGCTACCTTTAGCTGTCAGTCATAAAAATAGAACTTCTCTGTACTTGCTTGAATGTAAGCCTCTTGTGATTTTTATTAAAACCATATGTGCCCTAGTGCCTTCTGTGAAGTAGATACTCTCTAGGTAAGGGGCTTAGGACTTTATCTTAAACTAGTGTCTACCATGATTCCTATGATCAGCAAGCGTTGGAAACTAGTGTTGGATCCTTGTCACCAACAACCTTAGAAACTTGGAAGCGTAACCTGGGGGGAAAATAAAGATAAGGAACAGTGTTCTAGGCAGAAGATGCAAAACAGGGCATTAAAATTTTTCCCAAGGGGCTGGAGAGATGGCTCAGTGGTTAAGAGCACTGACTGTTCTTCCAGAGGACCTGAGTTTAATTCCCAGCACCCACATGGTGGCTCACAGCCATCTGTAGTGAGATCTGGCACCCTCTTCTGGCCTGCAGGCATACATGCAGACAGAGCACTGTATGCATAATAAATAAGTCAATCTTTTTTTTAAAATTCCCAATAACTCAGCGTAGTATCAAAGATTAAGTATGGGGGGAGGTCACCAATACAGGCTGGAGAAATGAATCAACAGCTAAAAACATGATAGCTCACAGCCACCTGTAACTCCAGATCCAGGAGATCCAACACAGTCTTCCCTGTCCTGAATCCTCCAAGCACCAGGCACATGATGAACAGACATACAGGTAGGCAAAACACCTACACACATGAAAATATTTTTTAAAAAATTAAAAGATCACAAGCCGGGTGGCAGTGGCACATGCCTTTAATCTCAGCAATCGGGAGGCAGAGCCAGGTGGATCTCTGTGAGTTTGAGGCCAGCCTGGTCTACAGAGAGAGATCTAGGACAAGTACCAAAACTACATGGAGAAACCCTGTCTCAGAAAAAAAAATAAATAAAATAAAAGATCGCAATATTTATTAACTAGTAATAGGATTCCCTCCATATGTGTGTCAAAAAAAAAAATGAGCTGCCTTGCATAAATAGGTAGGAAAATGTCAATCTAGGGGGAAAAATTAAGATGCTTCAAAGCATTTTCACAGCATAGTGTAACATAACTATGGGTATTCTCAAGGAGGCTGAGATGAGGGACAATTTCTAAAAACAAAAACAAAGAGAACAGGAGCCAGGGATTTAGCTCAGTGGTACAGCACTGGCGTTACCAGAAATTTTGGGATGCTGCGCAGTGAGTACCATAAGTTACAGGGGAAATAGATGTATGCTTTCAGGGTTCTTAGTCTCCATGATAAAAGAATCTAAGAACAAACAAAAACTCAAGGACCATTTTATTAGTGTTCAAAAGAAAAACCCTAGGAAAAGAAACATTACACTTCTTCATATATATTAACATCATCTCAGGAGAAGAGAGAAAACTATGTTGTTTGTAAACAGCCACAGTGGAAGTTTTAGAGAAAAACAGTGAAAAATAAAATTAAAAACAAAAACAAACAAAAAACCCAGAGTGCCTGAAAAAGAATGCCAGAGATTTTGGCCAGTAGCTAAAAGAAATGTCAAAGGGGGAAGTGTAAAGTCACCCTATAACTCAGAAAATCAGGCAGACCTTAGAATAGCCTCGGCTGAGGCTCCATTAGCCAACTGCAGGTTGGGTGGGTTTTATAGGAAAGAAAAATACGGCAGGCTTCTGTAGAGCTCTAATCAAGACTACTGGGGCATTTTCCTCTCTGAAGCGATAACCCAAACATCATTTAGGAGATGGGCTAAAATTGGGGATGAGATAAAATCCTGTTTTCACCATGAAAATCCAGTTCCAGAAGAGATCAGTGTCTGCGGCTTTGATCATACCCTCGGGATGTCTCCAGGTAAAGGTGCTCTTTTAGGAGGTGGTAAGAAACCAGAGCTCCCTTCTGGTATTCTTGAGAAAAACCAAAGACATTCCTGGTTGTGTGACTTTCCAGGTCCCTGCCCTAAGCTGCATGTGCAATTCCTATCTCCCCTTCTTATCACAAGACCAGGTCCCCAGCACAAAGAAAGAAAAAAAAAACAAGACAAAGGTTTTAAGCACAGATGATTTTAAACACTAATCCTTGGCTGGGTTAGTAATAATAGACCCCATATTTGCTGGATAGGGAGAACTTCTTGCAGAAGTGTTTCCTGTATGAGGCTATGGCAGCCTCTGTGCAAGCTTGGGGTTCAGATACTGTCTTTTGTGATAGATACTTGCAAGCAGCAACAGGTAAGAACCATTCCTTCATAAATGTACAGTTTTGTGTTTGTAAGCGTTGACAAAGCCATTCCATTTTGAGTATGAAGACATCCATGTTTCTTTCACAGGACTAAAGGAGGGTTGTTTTGATTTTTTGTTGTTGTTGTTGTTTTTTGTTGTTTTGTTTTTTTTGTTGTTGTTGTTTTTCCGGAGCTGAGGACCGAACCCAGGGCCTTGCGCTTGCTAGGCAAGCGCTCTACCACTGAGCTAAATCCTCAACCCCTGTTTTTGTTTTTGTTTTTTTGAAAAAACGAAGGTCATACAGACGTTGTGTCTGCGGTGGGTGGTTTGGAATGGGAAAAAGTTATGACATCATGGGAAAGATTGGAGGAGGCAAAAGAAATATGCACGTTGCTCGATCAAGAACCTACACAGAAAGACGGATTAAGTTAGTCTTCCATGTCAAGACCACAGCGCTTGTCGTAGGCGACAGCATTTAACAACGATACACTCTGTCGTTCCCCATTGCTTCCTCTGCATTACTCAAGGCTCCAGTTGAGTACTCATTACTCAATACAATTAACAAACGCCTTGGGACTGAAGTATTCGACAAAGCTGCCCCGAGGGCAAGGCGCTGACCCGCGCCTCCACCGAACACAGATCCCGGTTCCTCCACGCAGGCTCGGCGGCTTGGAGCATCGGGCTTTGTCCGCTGCAAAAAGTGGGGGCGAGCAGACGTGATCGGTTCAACATCTGCCTCATCAAACCCCAGCCCTCTCTGGGCAGCCTCCGCGACAGGAAGCTGTTAGAGACCTTCTCGTCCGCCAGGGGGCCCCCTCTATCCGCTTGGCCTGCTGGTGGGGCGGGGAAAAAGCCCCAACATCCGGGACTTCGCCGCGGGACCGCAAACACGCTGGCGCGGCCGGACCCTCCGCGGCCGCCGTAGCGGCTCGACCACAGTAAACAGGAAGTAGGAGCTTCCGTCGCGTTGAGTTGGAGAAGGCGGGGGGATTCGGGAGGGACTCCCTCATCTCCCGCCGCCGTTAGAGCCCGCTCTCCGTCCTTCTCCACGTCCTCCTCCCGGTCTACGGGAACTCTGCCTCCTCTGAGTGCCGACCCATGGCCGAATACTCCTATGTGAAGTCCACCAAACTCGTGCTCAAGGGTACGAAGGCCAAGAGGTGAGGCGGAGCTCGGGCGGGAGTCTCGGTTCCCGGCGCGTCCCAGCCAGGACCGGGGTGGCCGCCCCCGTCACGGCCTCCCCGAGATGACGCTGCCTGACAGGGGAGCCCCCGGAACAGGGAGACCAGTTGCCCATGGAGCTGCATGCTTGGGGGACCCTCCCTGCAAGGATTACTTGCTTTAGGACCTTGGATGTGGGTGTCGGCTCAGATGCCGACCGCACCAGCGACGCAGACTGACGGTTCATCTGCTCATTCATTAAGTGCTCAGATACTGTTTATGTTCCTTGCATCTCGAGGCTGTCAAAAAGAGTTGACGGGAATGGCAGGAGACAGCCAGCGCAGACTGGAACGGCCAAGTGAGGGCGTGCTGGTGCTGATTTATGTAGTTCGCTCTTTAGAGAAACAGACCTGCCCATTGGTATCTCCGTCCTCTTTTGAAAGGTTTGGCCCAAGTTGTGCACTTCTTTCCTGGATCGCGGGTAACGCAGTGTCAGGAGGTACTTGTTAAGGGAGCCCCGTGCCTCTGAGAACTGCTGCTGGCGTGTGGCATCGTGGAGAATGTGTCCTGACCGAATCTGAAACTGTGTGAAGTAGCTGCAGGGAGCACAGAATTAGCTTCTGAAAACTTTGTAGCTAAGATGCAAAGAAGACAGACATTATTAAAACCAGAATAGCATTTCCATGTTTCAGAATTTGTTCTTTTTGTGTGTGTGTGACAGGGTTTCTCTGTGTAGTCCTGGTTGTCCTGGATCTCTCTCTCTGTAGACCAGGCTGACCTCGAACTCAGAGATCTGCCTTCCTCTACCTCCAGAATGCTAGGATTAAAGGTGTGAGCCGGGATTAAAGGTGTGAGCCACCAGGGCCCGGCTCAGGATTTGTTCTAAGCACTTTGGATAATCATTTTTCCTCTAAGATCTCTTTGTGTTTTTTGTTTATGGAGCTGTAATTCATATACCATAAACTCCTCCTTATAAAATATACAGCGGCCGGGCGGTGGTGGCGCACGCCTTTAATCCCAGCACTCGGGAGGCAGAGCCAGGCGGATCTCAGTGAGTTCGAGGCCAGTCTGGGCTACCAAGTGAGTTCCAGGAGAGGCGCAAAGCTACACAGAGAAACCCTGTCTCGAAAAACCAAAAAAATAAAAAAAAATAAAAATAAAATAAAATATACAGCTAATGGGTTTTAGTATATTTATGAGTTCACCACTATGTATGTATTTTTACCACTCTAAAGTAAACCCCTTAACCATTAAACATTCATACCCATCTGCCCCTCCTTCCAGTTTCTGTCAACTGCTTTCAGCCTATAAGGATTTGCTGATTAATATTTATGTCAATGGAATTATACAATATGTAATCTTTTCTGTTTGCCTTCTTTCACTTAGATTGCTGTTGAGACGGTGTCTCACTGTGTAGCTCTGGCTAGCCTAAACTCACAGAGATTCACCTGCCTCAGCATCCCACATGCTGGAGTTGAAGGCATAAGTCACTATACCTCACTTACCTCACTTAGTTTTGAGGAACATCCGTATTGCAGTGCAGTGTATTTGTTTTATTTTGTGGCTGAATGATTTTGTTTTGTATGTCGTTAGCATGTTTTGTTCTTCATTTAATGAACGTTTTACACTAGTGATAATGCTATCAATATTCTGTTTTTTTTGTGGACACGCTTTTTTCATTTTTCTTGAAGATATATGGGAGTAGAGTCACTTCAGTATTATTTATAGTAACTCGGTGTTTAACTTTTTGAGAAGTATTTTCCAAAGAGGTTGTCTTAGTTAGCGATTCTATAGCGATGATAAAACACCCTGACCAAAGGTGTGGGGGTGGAGAGGGGGTTTGTTTCAGCTTACCTCTTGTAGTCCATCATCCAGGAAAGAGAAGGCAGGAACCAGTGTAGAAGCCATGGAGAAATGCTGCTTACTGGCTTGCTCAGCCTGCTTTCTTACACAACCTGGACCACCAAGCCAAAATGAACTAGGCCCACCTATATCAATCATTAATCAAGGAAATGCCCCCATAGGTTTGCCCACAGGCCACATCTGGTGGGGATATTTGTGCAGTTTAGGTTCCATGTGCCCAAATGACTCTAGCTTGTGTTAAGTTGACCAAAACACTAGCCAGAGCAGAGGCTGGACCACTTTTCATTCTTCAGCAATAGAAGGTTCAAAGCCACTCATAATCCTCATAGGAACTCTTAAGAATTTGTCTTCATTATTATCCTCCTAAGTGGGGAAAGTGATTGATAGATTAGTTTTGTTGGTTGTTGGTTGATTAATTTGGGGTCTTTTTTTTTGTTTTTGTTTTGTTTTTATCGCAGAGTAACAGGGACTGTAGGTTATTATTTTAAATGTAGCAACATGGACACAGGGCCAGAAGCAACTTCTCAGTATTTATAATATAATATATCTGTAAATTTTTAAAAATCATTTGTCTATAAATCAGTATATAGCTTGCACGACTCCTCTGAGTGTTTATCTCGTAATTTTCAACACGTATATCAATATGTCCAAACCATGTATGTGTCTTTTTTTCCTTTAGTAAAAAGAAGAAGAGCAAGGATAAGAAGAGAAAACGGGAAGAAGATGAGGAAACCCAACTTGATATTGTGGGTAAGCCACTTCAGTTCTTTATTGTGTGAAACGTTAGCGTCTGTTGATGGTTATGTTCCATTTGAAGTGTTTGCCTCATCAGAACTGGTGACTTGCTTATCAAAGCCTTCAGTTTGAAAGCTCATTAGATGTCACTGTTGTTCTTATCATTAGAACAGCTAAGTAGAACTTCAAATGCCTGTCACACCAAAGTATTGCTTACCCAAGTACGTTTACACATGGTTTTCTTTGGAAGTGCATGAATTTCAGTAAAAAAGTCTGCAATTTCTTTGTTTCCAATGGAAGTATAATCTGGTAAATTAATTATTTTGTACCCTGAAGTGAATGAAAATCCTAAACACAATAGAACATCAAGGTACCCTATAAATGGTACTAGAAATAGCCTGTCCCAAATCCATAACCAAATATGTTTTGGGTTTTTTGTTTTTTGTTTTTGTCTTTTGTATATCTAGCTATACGTTAAATCAAATTTCTATATTTTGTATAATGTTTAAGGGTTCAGCCTTAAATATATACAGTTCCAGGGGCCCGGGAGAGACTCTACCATCGGAGCAGGAATGAATCCAGTTGCTCAGAGCTCTTTCATTCAGTTCATTTATTCATCAGTCACCATCATTCAGAGTTATTCACCAGTCATCACCAGTTCAACTCTCTCCAATCTCTTCATTTCCTTGGTTCCTTTCATTCTTTCTAACCTCCTTCTCCCAGGACTGGCCTATATCTTATCCCAAGCAGTAACACCTCATGTTTTGTATACAACACAAGACTGTAGGGGTCCCGCTAGAGGCTTCCTGGCAATTATATTTGCAACCCAAAAGGGGAGAAATAAGAGTGGAGTCAGTTAGTAGTTGGTATAAATCAGAAAAGGAATTTATGTGCTGGAAATATATCCTTACTGTGGTTAGGTGAAGGCATTATGAGTCTGTCATAAATGTGTTCAACTATAAACTTACAGGCGATAGGGTAGGGAAAGTCTGTAGGTCACTAAAAGTTAAAACTGTCCCTTTTTTCCTCTGCCGCCAGTTTCCTGACAGGGTGGGGGAAGTACTGATAGCTAGTCAGTCTGCATCACAGCCTGAAACTGGTGAGAGGAAAGCCCTTTTTGATCTAAGAGGTTCTCTGGGGTGGTGAGAGAGAAAGAGAGAGAGGGGAGGGGGGAGGCTTTGATTTGCACAAGAAACAAAGCTTGTTCGTCTAGTGGGCAGGCATTTGGCCTGTGAGACAGGTGGTCTCAGAAAGAACATTTTATCTTAGTTGGGGGGGGCGGGGTTCAGGCATTTAACAGATGGCCTGGTAGCTATCTGTTCCTTGCCTGTCTTTTAAGGCTTTATTTGGGGTTGACTCTATCTTTGGAAGTAGCTCAAGGAGGGTATTTGCAAAAGGCAGATACCCAAAACAAATGCTAAAGAGGGGGCCTGGAGCTCAGAGGCAGAAGGTTGTATCTACTTGACTGTCCAGGTGCTTTGAAATGGAGATTCACACACACATACACATTTTAGGACAATTGTGCGCACAAGGAATTCATAGCAAGGCATAACTGAATATTAAGCTGCATAACACCAATAGTCCCTGCTGATTGGCTTCCCACTCGACTAACCCTTAGTCTTGTCGAAGTATAGCTTATAATATACAGCTGGACTTCTATTTCATATTCCTGTGGCTTGCCACATCTATAAAATGTCTATAAAAACTTGGCAAGTTAAATTTTGAAACTTTGACAAAATAAAACAACAGGTAAAGGTATAGTTTGAGTTTTCCTGGTCCTGTCTGGCCCACGGTCAGGGCAGATCTCTCTCACCTGCCAGTTCCATAGCCGCTTAGACCCAACCAAGTAAACACACAGAGACTTATATTGTTTACAAACTGTATGGCCACAGCAGGCTTCTTGCTAACTGTTCTTATATCTTAAATCAACCCATTTCTCTTAATCTATATGTTGCCACATGGCTCGTGGCTTACCGGTATCTTAACATCTTCTCATGGCAGCGGGTGGCAGCATCTCTCTGCCTCAGCCTTCCACTTCCCAGAATTCTCCTCTCTCCTTGTCCCACCTATACTTCCTGCCTGGCTACTGGCCAATCAGCATTTTATTTACACAGAGCGATAGCCACAGCATAAAGGTTCTTGTGGCCAAGTCTAACAACCTGGTATAGGTCCATGGAGAACAGTGACTCACAAATTGTCCACTGACCTCTGCATGTGCATGCTTGTACACACACACACACACACACACACACACACACACACACACACACACCACGAATAGATGTAATAAAGGATTTAAAGAAGATAGGCAATGGTGAAGAAATTATATGGGAAACCTCGTATCATTTGAAAAAGTGATTCTAAAATAACAAAATTCTATAATTAGGGTCAGAATCAAGAGTAGATACATGAGTGTTGATTTGCAAATTTTTAGGATAGGTGAGTATTTAATAATATTAGAATGTACCAAAATTTCCTAAATGGTTTTGCTCTTGTGCATCCTTGATAACAAGTAGTCCTTTCTCCCACCTGGTGCCCTTTGTTTCCTTTATAGTGCTTTTCTGGTGAGCTGGACACTAGTTCTCCTCAAGCCTGTTAATTGTTTCTCACATGGTTACTAGCTTTGAGATCTTTATTTAGCTTATCCCAGCATCATGACAAACTTGTACTTTCCCTTTTAGACATACTGTAGTTTAGGATTTTCTTTTTTCCTGGTTTTATCATCCACATCGGTTGATTGTATAGTATAAGATAGGATTCGGGTTGGGTTTGCTTTTGTTTTTCCTGTTTACAACCAGTTCCGGCCTCCTCTTGAATAGTTACCTTTCACCATGAAATGGCTATTTGAAAATCAGTTGAGTTTCTGTCTGTTGGTCAGTTTCTTGACTCCCGTTCCATGTACACATTTTTCTGTTATATATTTGTCTTTATTACTTTCACTTAATGAAGTTTATATTTCTACTTTATATTTCCTTTGATAAAATTAGCTCTTCTGAGTTTTTTATGTCCAGATAAATTTCTGAGTTAACTTACCATTCATTTAATAAAGCCTATTGGATTATCTGAGAGCATTGTATTGCTTCTAGGTTATTTGGGATTCAGTATCTTAATTGTATATAATTTATATTTCTGTATAGACCTTGCTCTTTGAGGTATTACACTCCTCATTATCATTGCTATTTTTGTTTATATAAACATCTGGGGTCATGTTTCCTTTGACTATTGTTTTAATTTTTTCCTTTCTTCCTGTGTCTTTTCTTTCGTTTACTAGCCAGGACTTTGGAAATGTTGAACAGATATGGTGAGAATAACCATAGTTATTTCTAGTCTTCAGCAGAAAGTCTTGAGTAGTCCCCCATATAGTATGATTTTATGTTAGGATCTTCATAGGTGTTCTACCAAAATAATGAATATAGTTGACGATCTTAAAAAGAATTCTTAGTAAGTTGTAGAATTAGTCAAAGAACAACAAAGATTTAACGTGTACCCCACTTGCCAATTGTTTTGACATATAAAAAACAGTAACTGACAACTGCAGAATACATGTTTTTTAAAGTGTCCATAGAAATAAACCAAGAAAGTATATTCTCAGTAATACTGTAAATGAGACTGCGCAGCAACACCTTTTGAAGGTAGAAAAGTGTAGAATGCCCTGTCCCTTCGTAAACAGAAATAACAAAGTGTTGGCGTGGATCTCAGATCCCGCTTCAGTGTGTGCAGCACTAGACAGTGTTGAGCTTCGAGGTGCTGAGTTGGGTCCCCCCACCACGCAAACAAAACAGAACTGTGATTGACTTAGTGAGCTCTGTTCGTAGCACCTGCTGCTTTCTGACAGCTCAGCCCTGGGGTGATCCTGCAGTCATGAAACATGTGAACATACCTCTGGCCTTTGAGTGGAGGCAACCTGAATTCCCAAGAAGAAAACACAACTGCTGTGGATAACTTTTTAGGCAGTAGAGATTTCTAAAAGTAATGTATCATTTTTTCTACTTTGGTAGAGACTGAAAATTTTGAGTCTGTCAGAAATGTATTTTTCTGAAATTCACTATTGAGATGCTGTGTTAAAATGATTTCTTTACTATTAAATGTAGGCTTGGGGGTAGCTCAGTGGTAGGCTAGTTGCCTAGCATGCATGAAGCTTTATCATGGATGTGGGGGAAAGCATTGGTGTGGGTAGGATTTGGCATTGGTCTCAGGCATCCTCGGAGAAAAGGAGAGGCTGTTGGCTGAGAGCACCTCACTCTGTGGGACTCATTTAAACATTGATACTGGAAAGCGTGTGGGATGGGGGCCGCGGTCAGAGAAACTGTTCTCTTGCTCCTTTGTTTCGGTTTGGTTTTTGGTTCTTTGGTATGGGTTTCTATTTGTTTGGGTTTTGGGGTTGTTGGGTTTTTATGTTGTTTTTTGGTTTTGGTTTTGGTTTTGGTTTGAGACAGGATTTCTCTGTGTATCCCTGACAGTCATGGAACTCACTCTGTAGACCAGGCTGGCATTGAACTCAGAGATCCGCCTATCTCTGCCTCCTGAGTGCTGGGATTAAAGCCATGCACCACTTCCGCCCACCTTCTTCCTCTTTGGTATCTCTGTATGTGTGAGAGTGATCCTGACTGTGACATCAGTCACGGGAATCCACCTGTGTAAACAAACAAGTGCATGCAGAACTGGTAAACTATGAGTGAGGTTTGGGATTATGTCGATGTCAAGTGCTAATGGTTGTACAGGAGTTATGCAAGGTGGCAGGTACAATTAGGAGGAAATCAGGGAAGGATAAACCAGGTCTCTCTTCATTGATTCTTATGATTGTCAAATACAGGCTTTTAGAAATAAGTTATAGTAAAAACAACAGAAAACCTCGAGTAACCCTGAAATAAAATGGTTAAACCGTGATTTTTGTTTTGTAGGAATCTGGTGGACTGTATCCAACTTTGGGGAGATTTCAGGAACCATTGCCATTGAAATGGATAAAGGAGCCTATATCCATGCACTGGACAATGGCCTTTTTACACTGGGAGCTCCGCACAGAGAAGGTTTGTGTGGGACAGACAGTGATGGGAGACCCTGCCAAGTGAAACATTACAAAGCTGGTGGATGAGTCGGAGGCATGTTCCAGAGCAAGGCTGCCATCCCACTGAGCTTCTCTCCGTTTTTCCTTCCTCACTCCTGCTATTGAGAGCTATCGTTTTCCAGAGTAAGCATTTGAAACATTCTGACTACTGTCAGAAGAACCCTGTGGAAATTAAAAATAGCATTAAAATCACATTAAAAATTGCACTTATGCTGGGCAGTGGTGGCCCACATCTTTAATCCCAGTACTCGGGAGGCAGAGGCAGGTGGAACTCTGTGAGTTCAAGGCCAGTCTGATCTACAGAGTGAGATCCAGGACAGGCACCAAAACTACACAGAGAAACCCTGTCTTGAAAAAACCACCAACAACAACAAAACAATTTTTTTTTACTTATAAATGAAAAGAAAGAAGAAAATCTAATTGAACCAGAAGTTTGAAGTTTTGTTGTTTTGATTTCTTTTCCCTTCAGAATTGGGTATAATTAACAGACATTTAGACATTTCTCCTTATTGTGGAAGCACCACAGAAAATGAAATAAGTGGAAAGTAAGAAGATGTATGATTTGGCCAGAATGGACATTCCTTGAGTAAATAAGAGCATTTAGTATTTCACATACTGTTATTCATGTACTGTGTTTTAAAACAGGAGATTGTATTAGAAGTGGCTAAACAAGTTATGCCAGCCTGTCTTACAAAGTACATGAAGTCACCATCTAACAATGGCTTGCTAATATAGATAGTGTATTATTACAGTGTGTCCAAATATCTCAATATCCTTACCTATAAATTTAGGGGGAAAACTAGTTTTCAAAGCATATAATAGCTTTATGTATATATTTACAGCAAATGTTGTATATTTCCATTTTTGTTTTCCTATAGTTGATGAGGGCCCCAGTCCTCCAGAGCAGTTTACTGCCGTCAAATTGTCTGATTCCAGGTAAGCTTTCCTTGAACTGTATTTAAAAGCCTTAAAATTTAACTTCACTTAGCCATGCATGGTGATGCATGCCTTTCAAACCTATCTCATACCATAGGAGACAGAATCAGAAGTATCAGGAGTTCAAGGCCATATTGGCTGTATAATGAGTTTGGGGCCAGCCTTGGCTACATGTAACCCTGTCTCAAAAAATAATAATAATAATTTCACTTAAGTTTAAAAAAAACTACACTATTAGTGAATACAAGATCAGAGAATAATTTTAATTGAATATTTTGAAAAGGAGATTTTTTTTTTTTCTTTTCCTTTTCTTTTTGAGACAGGATCTCTCTACAGAACCCTGGCTGTATTGGAACTTGATCTGTACACCAGGCTGGCCTCGAACTAACTGGGATCAGTCCACCTCTGCCTCCTGATTGCTGGGACTGGTGTGCACATGATGTTTCATTAGGGCACAAGATGTTTTATTTACATCACATATACATTGTCTGAAGATAATTTTGCAAAGTGTGTCACTGTTCCTGAATTTGGCTGTGACTAATCACAGGCAGCCATCTGGCATTATCCACGTGTGGCCTGGTATCTTCGCTCAGAAATTTGGGATTTTGGAGGTTTGGGGATTAGGGATATTTAGCCTGTACTATGTATGTAGATATTCTCAATATATACTACTCATCTAAAAAAAAAAGTAAGAGCTTAAAGATGAAAATTAATAATGTCAAAGACCAAATTAAATAGATGAGAAAGAGCATGAGAAGAAAATAAACATAAAATAAGATCTGCTAGTGATACTATGATGTATAGATTTGCAATCAGAAGAGACATATTAGTCATGGTGGCAGATACCTGTCATCCCAACTTGAGAAATTGAGTGTCAATGTTCTAGTAGTAGTTACAGCAACAAAATAATGTTTTATATTATCATCAATCCCCAACTGAGTATGAAGTCAATTCAGCATCCCCAGAGATTGGTTGGCAAATAAAAATCAGAAATCATTATTCTAAAAATCAAATTTAAATAATAGCTTTTATATTTCTTTGAAAGACTTAGGAGTAAAGCAAAGGAACAGAAAGTCAGTCAGTAAACTTCTTTCTTTCTTTTTTTTTTTTAAAGATTTATTTATTTATTATACATAGTGTTCTGTCTGCATGTGTCCTTGCAGGCCAGAAGAGGGCACCAGATCTCATTACTACAGGTGGTTGTGAGCCACCATGTGGTTGCTGGGAATTGAACTCAGGACCTCTGGAAGAGCAGTTAGTACTCTTAACCACTGAGCCATCTCTCCAGCCCAGTAAACTTCTTTATAGTTACAAACAAAACTATTATGAGCAGTAGAAAATGAGGAAAGTATTTGCACCAATCTCCATATGCAGCGAGTGGTTCCTTGGAGGTATATCTGCATAGCAGTCATAATCCTGATGACATCAGTAGAGAATGGGCACACACCAGGTAGTTTTGAAGTGGAAAAAGAAAATAAAAACATGCTGGTGTCATTCTCTTTAATAACTATCATGCAAAGTATATACATTACTATTTTTCCCATATTGTGTTTTTCAGCATTTTTAAAGTACTTTAGTTACTTTTCTTGTCTGAGACCTGACAAGAAACAACTTAAGGGAAAACACTTTGGGTTTTGGTTTAAGAGGGTAAAGTTGGTCTTGGCAGGGAATGTGTCTGGGACTCCGTATCTCCAGGTATCATCACAGTGAGGGGAGTGGCAGCCCTCAGCTGCCTTCCTTTTCCGAATTTTATGTACTCTGGAATCCCAGCTCCTAAGACAGTCTTGCTCACACTCAGAGTGTGTATTGCCTCCTTAGTTAAACCTTGCTGGAACCAACCCCAAAGACACCCAAATCAGTCAATCTAACAATGAAGACATATATCAGTTTTCTTTTTCTCTCTTTCTTTTCTCTTTTTTTTATAGATATCCAGGGTTTCACTATGTAGCTCTGGCTGGCCTGGAGCTTGTTAAGTAGACCAAGGTGGCCTCTAACTCAACAGGTATTCACCTGCCTTTGCCTCCTGAGCGCTAGGACTAAAGGCACATTGCGACCATACCCAGGGTAGACTTTTTCAAAATTACAAGATTAAAATAATTTATTGGCTAGATGCATAGCTTAGAACAGTGGTTTTCAACTTGGGGGTTGAACAACTCTTTCACAGGGGTCACACCACATAGCCTGCATATTATTACGACTCAAAACAATAGCAAAATTGCAGTTATGAAGTAGCAACAAAATAATTTTATGGTTGAGGGTCACCACAACATGAGGAACTAAATTAGAGCGTTACAGTGTTAGGAAGGTTGAGAACTTCTGCCTTAGAGCACACCCCTTCTCCTCAATAAAATCTTAATTTGAGGTGAGAACCTAAGTTCTTATAGCCTTTTCTTGAAAGCAAGTTAACAAACTGTAGAGTTTTAATATCTGGTGGAAGTCAGCCTGGGCTCCTAAAAAACACCCTGTTTTACAATCATAAGTTGATAACTTTCAATCCAGTGGCTTCCTCTTCTAAAGATAAATCAACAATTTTATATATAAAACAGAAATCAGTAAGACTGTATAATAGCATAAAAGGTGACTTATACATCTATGATAGGACAATAATGCATTTGGAAAATGATTGCTGTATAATGTAAGATACTGTATAATAATTATATTAGAAAGCAGAACATAAGATTTTAGCGAATATGGTATCCATTGTAAACATGTCTGGATTTATTAATGTATATGCATATATGTATACACAGAGATACATAAGTATACATAATATACTCTATATTTTATAATTAAAGTCTTACTCTTAGTTTTTAACATTTATCTTTTTTATTAAACCAAAGAATTGCCCTGAAGTCTGGCTATGGAAAATACCTTGGTATAAATTCAGATGGACTTGTTGTTGGGCGTTCAGATGCAATTGGGCCAAGAGAACAGTGGGAACCAGTATTTCAAGATGTAAGTATTGTCACTTAGAAGGGTGCTCCACCAGTTTAAGAAAACGTTATCAGTAAAAGCACATTCTCTAAAATTAATAATAAAACAAAAAAGGATAGATTGTAATAGTGTTATATGTTAAATTGAAAACAATTAGAAGAACTTGTAACCTTGTAACGATGTCAGAACAGTGCAACAGAAAGGAATACCTTCCTCATTCTGGTCTCCATCCACCATTTAGGCCTTGTTGTTTTGTTTTCCATGAAAAGATTAGGACTCTTGCATTTAAGTGTTGGGGTTTCAAAAAAGAAGCAAATCCCCGGGTGTTTCAGGAGCATCTTCTTCACATAGGTTGGTTCAGAACCCTTAGAGACTGACAAGAGGACAGTGAGGAAGCTAATGCTGCATTGTGACAGCTGTGCATAGACTAGTAAACCATGGTCCATTGAGATAAACACCCTTTGGACAGCTCTGAGTCTCAGTTTGTGAAAGTCAGTATAAACAAGTTTCATTAAAGATACATCAACTTTAGTAAATACTCAGTTGTAATGTATTGAAAACTGTAAAGAAGAGCCAGAAGAGAAGTTCAGTAGCTGTCCAGCAACAGTGGTGTGTACATTTCAGCATAGCGAGCATCAGGGCTGGAGAGGTGGCAAGAACACCTGCAGCATCAGTGTGAGGACCTGAGTTCAGATTGCAGCAACCACAGAACAGATGGATGAAGAAGCTGCATGTGCCTGTAACCCCAGTGCTGCCTCAGAGACAAGAGGGTTGCTTGGGCCTGCTGGCCGCCAGCCTGACTCCAGATTCACTGAGCCCCTTTTCAAAGGAGTAAGACATAGTGTAATGAGTAAGATACCTGGTCTGTTGTTTTTAACAAATTCTCAATCATTCGATTTTACCAATAAAGACTTGGGAGCCAGATGCTGGGATGAAAGCCTGCTAGCTGAGAGAGGCAGAGAAAACACCCAGCTGACCGACCTTCCTCTTCTGTTGATGTTCCAGAAACCTCCCTCTTCTCCTTTCTCTCTCAAACTGCATGTCCCTCCCTTCTACTTCCTATGTGTCTCTCTATCCGTCCTCCTGACTCCCTCCTACTCTCTATGGTTTTTTCTTAATAATCCTATGTACACTTCCTGTCAACTGGTTGCTTGCTTTGCCTCTTGAGCTATGGTTGACTTTATTTAACCCTGTTTACAATATTCAAGCAGGAAACTCTTGGATTAAAGGTGTGTGCTAGGGCTGAGCTATACCACAGCTAGAAACAGGTTTTTCATAGTAAATAATGAAATCTCGGGGTTCACCGTGTGATCAGATATCCTATAACAGGTGTCCTCCAGCCTTCACATGTACAGGAGCATGCACCCTCACACACACACACACACACACACACACACACACACACACGTGCATACGCCTCATACATATACACTACATTTAAGCACACAGAGACCAAAAATAATGATATAATAATACTTATACGATGCCTTGGTGCATTCTGTTCTCCCAAGATGAGGTAATTGAGCCTTTCCTTCATCCCCTAGGATAAAATCTTGAGTCAGTGACTGGCAAACAGTTATGGCCATATTGTTGTGAGAAACACATTTTGACATCTCATGAGCAAGAACTGTACTCAAGAGTACTTATTTATTTTGGGGGTTTTTCTCTTTTATTGAAAGTAGATTTTTTTTTTCATACAATATATTCTGATTATGGCTTCCCCTCCCCCTACTACTCCCAGTTCCTCTCTACCTCCCCTTCCATCAGAATCCACACTCTTTCTGTTTCTCCTTAAAAAAACATCTTAGGAGCAAAAATAAAATAAAATATAATACAATAAAACAAAAACAAACACTGGAATAGGACAAAACAAAAGAACAGAGCCAAAAAAAAAAAAAAAGCACAAGAAACACATAATAGAGACACACATGTTCACACACAGAGGAATCCCATGAAAACAGGAAACCAGAAGCCATAATAGATAAGCATTGGACCTGTAAGGTTAAAAAAGGAATGCTCTGACAACATTATGAAACAAAGAACCTCCAAAGATGCCATTGAGTTCATTTTGTGTTGGCATCTACTGTTGGCATGTACAATCCTTTAAGAATGGATTGTTTCCCCCAGTGAGACTCCTCCCTTAGAGAAAACTAATTTTTCTTTTGCGAGTGGTTACCAATTAGAGATAGCTTTTGGTTTAGGGATGGGGGCATGTGCCCACTCCACCTTTCAGCTTTAGAACCCCATCTGGTGCAGACCTCTGCAGGCCCTGTGCATGCTGCCAGTCTCTCTCAGTTCACATGTGCAGCAGTCATGCTATGTTCAGAAGGCCTTGTTTAGTTGTGTCCTCTATTTGGCTCTTACCTGCTTTCCACCTCCTCTTCCATAGGGTTCACTGAGCCCTGAGGGGAGGGATTTGATGGAGATACCCCATTTAGGACTGGGTGTGTCAAGGTGTCTCACTTTCTACATATTGTCTGGCTGTGAGTCTCTGTATTTTTTCCCATCTGCTTCAGGAGGAAGCTTTCTCTGATAATGGCTGAACGAGGCACTGATCCATGATTATAGAAGAACATCATTAGACATCATTATATTGCTACATCCCTTTAGCAGAACAGTAGTATTTGGTTTTCCGATAGGTCCCTGGCCTATCTACTCTCAGGTTCTTGGCCACCAAACAGCATTGAGTTCCATCTCATGGAGTGGGCCTTAAATTAAATCAGATGTTGGTTGCTTGCTTCTCCCTCAGGCTTTGTGCCACAGTTACACAGGTGTATCTCGCAAGCAGGTCATCATCAGATAAAGGATTTGTAGCTGGGTTGGTGTTTACTTTTCTCCTTTGATAGCATGCAGACTACCTTCCAGTACCATGAACACTGACCCACGGGAGATGAAGCTCTAGATAGGAACCAGCTCGACTCCTCCGTGTTCAGTGAGTTATGTAGGTGTTGTCTTCAGTAATAAAGGCCTTGCCATCATTTTGTCAAGAGCAACCAATAACCCTGGTGCTAGCCTGAGTTGTTATTGGCCAACACCTTTATTATATATAACCCATTCCCAGTCCTGGAAGCTCTCTTTGATGATGAAAGATGTCCAGTTGGGGTTCTGCCTCCCCTGTTTTTGGTGATTTCGTTTAGGTCACCTTCATATATGTGTATATTTTAGGAAGCTTCTACTGTAGTGGGCCTCCGTATGACCCCTCAAATGGCCCTTAGTTTTAGCTGTTTCTCCCTGTGTTCCCTCCTGTTCGCCATTCTAGTCTCCCACCCCTCAGAACTAATTATTCTGTTCTTAGAGTTTATAACTATCCTCCCTGGGGAGATCTGTCTCTCCTCCCAGTCCCTTACTCTATACCTAACCCCTGGGGTTACATGGATCGTAGCTTGCTTATCAGTGAATTAATAGCTAACATCCACATTTAAGTGAATACTGTATTTTTCTTTCTAGGTCCGAGTTACCTCACTCAGGATGATTTTTTTCTAGTTCCATCCATTTACCTGCAAATTTCATGATTTCATTTTTTTAATGGCTGAGTAATATCCTGTTGTATAAATGTACCACGTTCTGTTGAGGGGCATCTAGACTGTTTTCAATTTCTGACTGTTGTAAATAGAACAGCAATGAACATGGTTAAATAAGTGTGTCTGTAGTAGGATGAAGCATCCCTTTGGGTTTGTACCCAACAATGATCCAGCTTGATCTTAAGTTAGATTGATTTCTACCTTCCTGAAGAACTGCCACACTGATTTCCATAGTGGCTATACAAGTTTGCATTCCTACCAGCAATGGGTGTTTCCCTTACTCCACATCCTCCCCAGCATGAGCTGTCATTTGTTTTACTGATCTTAGCCATTCTGACTGGTGTAAGATGAAATCTCAAAGGAGTTTTGATTTGCATTTTCCTGATGACTAAGGATGCTGAACATTTCTTCTAAGTGCTCCTCAGCCATTTAAGTTTCTTTTATTGAGAATTTTCTGTTTAGATCTGTACCCCATTTTTTAATTGAGTTGTTTTCTTGATGACCAGATTCTTGAGTTCTTTATATATTTTAGACATTAGCTCTCTATCAGATATCTAGTTGGTAAAAATCTTTTCCTATTCTGTCAGCTGCCACTTTGTCCAAATGATGGTGTCCTTTGCCTTACAGAAGCTTTTCAGTTTCATGAGGTATCATTTATTAACTGTTAATCTTGGTGCCTGTGCTAATGGTGTTCTATTCAGAAAGTCTTCTCTGCCAGTGAGTTCTAAGCTATTCTCCAGTTTCTCCTCTGTCAGACTCAGTGTATCTGGTTTTATGTTGAGGTGTTTGATCCACTTGGACTTGAGTTTTGTGCAGGGTGATAAATATGGATCTATTTGGATTCCTCTACATGCAGCTGTCCAGTTTGACCAGCACTGTTTGTTGAAAATGTGCTTTTTTTTTTTTTCCAGTTTGTAATTCTGGCTTTTTTTAATGAAAAATCAGGTGTCCATAGATATGTAGATTAAGTCTGAGAATTCAGTTCTGTTATTTTGATGAACAAATCTGTTTTTGTGCCAGTATCATGCTGTTTTTATTACATAGGTCTGTAATACAATTTGCGATCAGGATGGTACTACTTTCAGGAGTTCCTTTATTATTCAGGATTGTTTTCACTATCTTGGGTTTTGGTGTTTCCACATGAAGTCATGTGGATCTGTGAACATGGGAGATCTTTCCATCTTCCAGTATCATCTTCAGTTTTTTTCTTCAGTGTCTTATTAAAGTTTTTTTCATACAAGTCTTTACTTGCTTTACTTGGTTACACTCCCCCAAGATATTTTATATTATTTGAGGCTATTGTGAAAGGCATTCTTTCCCTGATTTCTTTCTCACACTGTCATTTGTAAATAGGGCTACTGATTTTCCTGAATTTTGTATCCTGCTACTTTGCTGAAAGTGTTTACCAGTTGTAGGAGTTTCCTGTCGGAATTTTTAGGGCCACTTAAATATACTATCATATCATCTGCAAATAATAATACTTTGACTTCTTCCCTTGCTGTTTGTATCCGCTTGGTCTCCTTTAATCATCTTATTGCTCTAGCTAAGATTTCAAGTACATTTAATAGATTGGAGAGCATGGGCAACCTTATCTTGTCATTTTAGTAGAAATGCTTTGAGTTTCTCTCCATTAGGTTGATGTTGTCTGTGGGCTTGCTGTAAACTGCCTTTATTATTTTAAAGCATGTCCCTTGTATCCCCAATCTCTCCATGACTTTTATCATGAAAGGGTTTAGATTTTGTCAAAGTCCTTTTCTGCATCTAATGAGATGATCATGTGGCTTGTTTTTCAGTCTGTTTATATGGTAGATTCCATTTATCAATTTACTTTTGTTGAACCATCCCTGCATCTCTCAGATGGTGCCTACTTGATCATGATGCATGATCTGTTTGCTGTGTTCTTGGATTTGGTTTGCAAGTATTTGGTTGAGAATTTTTACATCTGTGTTCATAAGGGAAATTGGTCTGTAACTCTTTTTGTTGAGTCTTTATGTTGTTTAGGCTCACGGTAAACTGTGACCTCATAAAAAGAATGGGACAGTGTTTCTTTTGTTTCTATTTTGTGGAATGATTTGAGGGATACTGGTATTGACTCGTCTTTGACTGGTAGAATTCTGAATTAAAACCATCTGGCCCAGGTTTGTTTTTGCTGTTGGTTGGTTGGTTGGTTGATGTCAGCTCTGAGTTTGATTGTTTCTTGCATCTACTCCTTTTGGGTATCATTTCTTCTTTTTGTTCTAGAGGTTTTATTTAATACAAATCAGTATAATCATAAACATTCAACCCCTAAAAGTATGCCATTCTACATAAAATTCCCTCTAGGTCAAAGGCCAGCTTTTTTGTTTGGTTGGTTAGGTTTTTTTGTTTGTTGTTTTGTTTTGTTTTAATTTTTTCGAGGCAGGGCTTCTCTGTGTAGCTTTGGAGCCTGTCCTAGAACTCACTCTGTAGACCAGGCTGGCCTCAAACTCACAGAGATTATTGCATATTATCCATTAGTTTTATTTTCTTTAAAGATAATTTTTAACTTATGAGTTGTATCTTCAGAGATAGGAATTAAAGAACGAAATTAATTTTGTGTAGGTAGAATGCTGTCCTGGGGGAAGAAAGTAAAAGACGATGTAAGTGCTCTACCACTGAGCTAGTCTCCAACCCAATAGAAAGACACACTAACAACGTTTATTGTGATAATGTTGAGTATCAAGACGATGTAAGTGCTCTACCACTGAGCTAGTCTCCAACCCAATAGAAAGACACACTAAAAATGTTTATTGTGATAATGTTGAATATCAAGATTTGGGGTGACTTTGGTTTCCCTTCTATATGCTTTTGTATTTTCCAGGATTTCTCTAAATTCTTTTTGATTTTAGAATTGGGGAGAAAATTTTAAATTAGCATAATGACTTAAGATTTCTACAAGTGTTCATAGCTTGATTTTTTTTCTTTTCTCTTTGTTTTATTTAGGGGAAAATGGCTTTATTAGCCTCAAATAGCTGCTTTATTAGATGTAATGAAGCAGGCGATATAGAAGCAAAGAATAAAACAGCAGGAGAAGAAGAGATGATAAAGGTAAACACCTACAGGCTAGTAGTGACATCTGAGAAACGTTGGGCAGCCGCTGACCGTCTTTCCAGACCTAACACCCTCTTCTGTGCTTTAATGATCCACATGTGTTTTAACTGTCACAAGTCCAGTGATCACGTCTTAGTTGTTCAATATAATCGAGAAATTACTGCTCAAAGCTTCTCTGCTGCTCTGCTAATAAGTCATTTTTAAGATAGATAATGTGTTCGAAAGCATGAAAGTTTCTAAGTAAAAGCCTCCAAGGCTTGTGTCTCCCACCTGCACTGCTTACCCAGTTCCCATCCCGCCCTGCCTGTCCTCTGTCTTTTGCTTGACTTGGTTTTGCTGTTGCTTGCTTGCTTTATTGTCTTATATAAACCCCTTTCTCACTTTGCTTTGCTCTTGTATCTTGGAGATCCCTGTCCTTGTAAATCTATATCAAAAGTCTTCTTCCTCCTTTTTATCACCTACATAGTGTTCCTTTTTAGGGATGTCCCTACCTTTATTCAGTTAGTCTTGTATAAACTGAAATGTAGATTGTTTCCTGGCTTTTGTCCTTAGAAACATTGCTGCAACACATGCCTGAATCTGCAAAATCAAAATTATAGGGCCTGTGTGATTTTGCTAGCTACTGTGAACTTGCCTGGCAGGAAGGCTGTCCTCTTGTCCACAGCTACTTTAGCACCCGTGATGGTGGTCACTAAATAAATGCAAACGTCTTAGAGCTTTTGGTCTGTGGCCCTTGGAGTTTGTTCTCTTTGGGAATACACATGCAGCCCATAAAGCGATTGTGTGTTTTACCTTGATGCAAGTCACTAACTGGAAGGGAAGGCTCCTTCTTCCAGGCAGAGTTCCCTAATACTGCTCTTTGCTTTTACTTCATTATAAATGTTATACAGGTACCTTTATATCACACTAAAATTCTCAATAAACTCCCAGGATCATCAGGTGGATGATCATCAACTGGAATCTGATGAAGTCTTATTTCAACTTACATATAATTCCAGCTGTTTCTGTAAATGATACAGAAACATGTACGAAATCAAAAACACATCACATACCTTGAGCTTGTCTTCGTAAATCTTATTGCTGAGTTACTGTTTTCTTGGCTTGCATAAGTAGTCACGTAGAGTGCTCTTGTTTAGCAAGTGGGGAAAGGAAGATAAATGTGTAACCTGTTGGGTTCTCATCAATGTCCAGATTAGATCCTGTGCTGAAAGAGAAACCAAGAAGAAAGATGACATCCCAGAAGAAGACAAAGGGAATGTGAAGCAGTGTGAAATCAACTATGTGTATGTGTTCTCCCTTCAGACTCCATTGTGATGGGAGGGTTTCTCAGGACACCTGCTAGGAAAGTACCTGAAGGACCAGAAGGGCCTACAATGGGAACTCAAGGACAGAGCCATGAGCTGAGTGCGTAAAGCTAAAGACCTTGGGTTAGTCAGCTCTCCCTTTCTTTAGCAGAGTTGCTATCTCGTCACTCAGAGGCTATTCATGTTCCAGACATGAGGATTGCAGCCAGCCAACATCCCTAGAAGGAGGCTTTGCAGGGCTACCCAAGCGACAGCCCTCTTGATGGATAAGAAATAACCCTTGTAGTAGAAAAACTGTCAATTTTTAAAGAAATAAAATTAGGTTTGTTAAATGAATGGGTGGGAAAAACTTTTAATAGTATTTGGAATTTGGTAAGAGAACACAATAAAAGTTAGAGATTTGTTTATTTCAATGAGAAATCTTTCTTAACAGAAAGAAATTTCAGAGCTTCCAAGACCACAAACTCAAAATAAGCAAAGAAGATAGTAAAATTCTTAAAAAGGCTCGGAAAGATGGATTTTTGCATGAGACACTTCTGGACAGGTAATTGTATATTTACATAATTACAGCAGTTTTCAAAAGTAGTGTGTTCTTAAATTACTGTTGTTTTAGGGTTTTTGTCTTCTTTAATCTATGTGGTAATATTATCAAAGAAGACATAAGTCAGGGGAAAACATGCTAAAAACAAACTTCTAAATTATAACCAGAATGGTTTGATTGAAACAATTTCATAATTTTTCTGAACCACCAGGTCATTTCCATGGTGTAGCGATTACCATATAACCACCAGGCCATTTCCATGGTGCAGCAGTTACCATGCAACCGCCAGGCCATTTCCATGGTGCAGCAGTTACCATGTTTGCCTCTCATAAATTTGCTTCCCATCATCTTCCCTTAAGAATTAGGAACAGAGCTAGAAATTTGCTTGAGTAGCATCAAGAGTCTGTGTGTTCTGTTTGAGTAGTAGAGGTTCCTAAAACTGAGATAAAAATTATGAATTTGGATCCAGATTAAAAAAGTTCAGTGAGGGAAATTGAACCTGTTTTAGAAAGGTTTGATGCAGCAGTATGCAAAATATTTATCATAACACATTATTGATATTGTTCCAATTCATTTTTATTTAAATAAGTAACAGCCTACAGTTAGCACCAAACTGAAAAAGAATCTGATAATCTCCTGTCAGTCATAAGTAAGAGTGCTGTAAATCACTCTTAATCCTTCCCACTATCTGATAAATCAGTTAACGGGAGAATTTTTTTCAACCCAGAAAATTAATGTATGTGTATGGTTCTGAGAAGTCAGAAAAGGACATAAAATATAGTCAGACTGTGAACTCTGAAATAGAATAAGCTGTTTGTCTAGCAACTTTAAAACCAGTTTTAAAAAAGAATACACCGTTGTCGCCCAGTAGAAACTTAGGGCAGGCTTAAACTCATGAGTGACTAACATTCCCCTTGTGACCTGAAAAAGCTCTTAAGCCACCTCTGTTAAATATTACAAAGCAAGTTTCATAAGACCAGAATCCATTTTACATAAAAAGAAAGTTGAAAGGTAAAGTTTTAATAAAATCTTTTTAATATGAATATTTAATAGAGTAATGAAAATAGAACAATTTCCAAGCATGAGTTTTCTATTTAGTAGCAATTGACTCTATATGGTATGTTTTACATTGATCCTTCTTTGTGTCTTAAACAGGAGAGCCAAATTGAAAGCTGATCGATACTGCAAGTGATGGAGATGTTTTTGTGTTGCTTTGGTTTTTATGTTGTTGGGGGGTGGGAGTGGTCTGTCTATTTTTATCCTGAATAAAAATATTCAGTACAACTCTGCTTTTACAGAGTTCTTGAGTCCTTTTGAAATTACTGCTTAATTTAGTATCTAATTTGACCAAGATTGATCAAGTTGAACCCAGGTCCTTCATGGGATTTACTTTTCAGACAAGTGTACCCACTTACAGGACTATAGCGCTTCCTACACTGAATTCCCTGTCACGTTACACCGAAAGCAGGTCCCTGCCGCTGTGACTCTTTCCGTTACTGTACTGCCTCTCTATATCTTGGTCCAGGCTTGAGCTGCACATTGAGAGGGATTTAGATAGTAAGTAACTGTAAGTAAAGCTTTGATACTCTTCCCTTCCTTTTCTTTCTCCTTTTGTTTTTTCATTGTTGTTGTTGGTTGGTTGGGTTTTTTTTGTTTGTTTGATTGTTTGCCTGTTTGTTTTGTGGTCCATTAACAGAATAGGGATTGTCCTGTTGTGTAGAAGGACATTTCAAGGCCAGCCTGGGTTGCATGAGACCCTGTCTCAAGGGGGCGGCAGGGGGAGGGGGGAGAGGTGGGCTTTAAAATAATGATAGCCATATCACACCTGAGACACTAAGAACCCAGTACTCAGTTCTTGAGACTGGATACTGAAATAGTTGGAATAGTCCCAGAATAGCCGAGAATAGCTGTCTTTCACTATGGGGATGATGACCCACAGTTACTCATTTCATCGGTTGGGGTACCTCAGTAGTCCCCAGATCGGGCACTGGAAGCCCAGGAAATGCCCATAGAGCCTGTGGTCCCTGTTCTACATTGAAGACTTGGAAATGCTGCTTCTGCTAGTAGTGAAGAACTAGCAGTGTGAATCAGCTCAACACAAGAGGGAAAGCCAAGTGACAAAGGAGACAGCCAACAGTCAGGGTGGGCCTTCCCACATCTAGGAAATTGGGACAGTTCTTCAGGTGAGGCTCTCTACTTACTTAGCTGGTTATAATTTGTGGCAAGTTGACACTAAAATCAACTGTAATAAAAAAGAAAAAACTTTGCTAACCTGTCAAACCCTGCCTACTTTTGGAGTTTATGTTCCATGCCTCTCCAGATCGAGTCTTAGTGTCCCATCTGTAAGCACAGTCCTAGTGTCTGCATTACCTAGAAGCTCTTGCATTACACTGTTCTCCAGCATCTGAGCCTTGGACTGGAAACCTAATTCTTAATCTCGGTCCAGGCTGTTGAGCTTTGTATGGGACATATTTCAGTGGCTCCGCAGGAAAAGGGTAGGGGTACTAGTAAACATACTTCTACACAGCAGCAGTCTGCCACGACCTGAAATCATCTAACCTAAAATGCCAGTATTTTGTCCAACAACAGGATCTCCACATACATGAGAATGAAATTAGATTCACATCATTCATCTTGCATAAAGATCAAAATGAATTAAGATCACAGTGTAAGACCTGAAACTGAAACCACTAGGGGAAGCAAGTTAAAGGATTTTCTGAAAAGGATTCCAGTATCACAGGAGATAATCCTAAGAATTGATAATGGGATTCCATGAAACATAAAATTTTGCACAGCAAAGGAACAGTCACCAGTGAAGAGAAAGTCTACTGAATGAGGGGAAATATGAGGGGAAATAAAAAAACAAAACAGCCGGGCGGTGGTGGCGCACGCCTTTAATCCCAGCACTCGGGAGGCAGAGCCAGGCGGATCTCTGTGAGTTCGAGGCCAGCCTGGGCTACCAAGTGAGTTCCAGGAAAGGCGCAAAGCTACACAGAGAAACCCTGTCTCGAAAAACCAAAAAAAAAAAAAAAAAAAAAAAAAAAAAAAAAAAAAAAAACAAAACAGCCCATTACACATCAGACAGGATGAATACCTAGATCAATATACTTCAAAAATTATACAAGACATATATTCAGTAAATGGAATGATGGTCTAAATAGACAGTTCTCTGAAGAAGACATGTAAGTGGCCAGTAAGTACTTGGAAAACATTCAACATCCTGAGCTAATAGGAAAATGCAAATTAAAACTACTTTGAGATTCCATCACCTCCAGTAGAGCTTATCATTAAGAAAGCATGCTACAGAAGATGTGAAGAAAGAGGAACCCTTATTCACTGCCAATGGGAATGCAGACTGATACAACCACTTCAATAAGTCTCACGGAGGGGCTGGAGAGGGATCAGTGGTTAAACGCACTTGTTGCCCTTGCGGAGGATCTGGGTTTAGTTTCCAGCAGACACATGTTGACTAACAACAATCTGTAACTCCAGTGACAGAAGATCTGACATCTGGCCTCTGGCCACTGCACACACCTATATACAGACCTGCAAACAAAACACCCATACACATAAAGACACACCATGCCAGGTGTGGTGGCACACACCTTTAATGCCAGCAAATGCAGAGGCTGGTGAATCTCTGAGTTCGATGCCATCCTGGTTTACAGAGTAAGTTACAGGACATTCAATGCCACAGAGAGAAACGCTGTCTCAAAAAACCAATAATAGTAATAATAAACCTGTTATAAAAACCAGTATGGGCCGGGCGGTGGTGGCGCACGCCTTTAATCCCAGCACTCGGGAGGCAGAGCCAGGCAGATCTCTGTGAGTTCGAGACCAGCCTGGGCTACCAAGTGAGTCCCAGGAAAGGCGCAAAGCTACACAGAGAAACCCTGTCTCGAAAAACCAAAAAAAAAAAACCAGTATGGAGGTTCCTCAAAACATTGAAAATAGAACTGCCATATGATTTAACCATACCTGAGTATATACACCAACAACTAAGCAACATGCCACAGAGATACCTTCCCACCCCTGCTCATTGCTTCACTATTCACAATAGCCAGGAAACTGAACCAGCCTATGTACTCATCTACAGATCAATAGATAAATGTAGTGCAAAAACACTATGGAAATTTAAACAGCCTACAGGAAAGTGCAGTCATTACATTTGCAAGAACATGGATCCAACTGGAAGTCATTAAGTGTGGAAATGGACAAGACTCAGAAGTACCACATGTTTTACAATTCTGAATTTAATTTAGAATTATATGGGTTTATATTTTGAGGGGGTGTATCATTGAAACAGGAGAAAGAGACCAAAAGGGAGATGGGCTGGGTCTTTGACTGCCTCATATTCTCTAATTTCCTGCCCTGTAAAATAAGTAGACCTAATTGCAGGTTCTGAGAAGATAAAACTCTGTATTGTATTATGGAGTAAATGAAGGTGGACGATAAATGTAGATAACAGGTCTGCCCAGTTATCTACATCAATGCCACTAGAATATCAAAGTCAGTCTGGGAGAGTGGCAGGGGTTAAGTCAAGTGTCATAGAGCAGTAGTCTATCATGCCCAAGGCCTGGGATTCAACCCCTATGTGGTGATATGGAATAAAGGCTTCTAAATGTTCCCCTCTTTACATCTCATATCTCAGGTTATTGTGAGGAATCCTGTTTAAAGCATTACAGAAATCCCTGACTACGTGTTGCCCTGATGTAGCAATCTAGTAGACTTACAAAAAATAAAATTATACAAGATAAAAACAACACTGACCTGAGAAAAAGTGCCCACATTTTTCAGATTAGGTCATGTCTAACTGTATAAAAGTTCATTAGGGTATATTGACTTATTTCTTAGAGGAACTATATTTATAATTATGGTGATATTTTATTTGTACTGAAATGTGATTTTATTTGTATGTTAATAAATAAAGTTGCCTGGGGGTCAGAGCTAATAGCAAGCCATAGCAGAAGCCGGGCAGAGGTGGCGCACGCCCTTAATCCTGATCACATGAGAGGCAGATCTCTGTGTGTTCAAGGATACCACCAGCATGGAGACACACGCCTTTAATCTCAATACCAACCATAGAAGACCTGGAGGTCTGTACAGACAGGCAGTGATGAGGAGGTCATGTGGTTTGGCTTACAACCATCGAGAAGGCAGAACAGAAAGTCAATAAATAGAAAAACAGAAAGATAAGCACACAGGAAGTAGGTCTCTTGCTGAGGAGGACAGCAGTGGCAGTGAAGGGTAAGGTTTTTAGCTCTTAGCTATTGCTCTGACCTCTTGGGCTTTTAACTCTGCAATTGGCTCTATGTTTCTTATTTAATAAGATTGTACATCTACATATATAATGTTTCCATTGAAAATAATATTTTATGTACTCTGAAATCTTTACAACTAATAAATACCACATTTTTAAAAATTAATAACTTGCCAGGTACAGTGGTGCATACCTATAATCCCAGGACTTGAGAGGTGGAGCCAGGAGGCTCAGGAATTCAGTCTAGGTTACCTGATACTCTTAAACAAAACCAAACCAACAAAAAAGTTAGTAACTTATCAGGATTGTTTTTATTTTTAACCTTTGAGGGTTTTTTTTTGTTTTTTGTTTTGTTTGTTTCTTTGTTTTTTGACAAGGTCTCAAGTAGCTCAGGCTGGCCTCAAACTTGCTATGTGGCTGAGGCTGCTCTTCAACTCCTGATCTTCCTGCTTCCACTTTCCAAGTACTGGGATTGCAAGTGTATGCCACCATGCCTGGCTTACAGCATCTAAGTATTAAAATCACAGTTATGTAGAAAATGAAGTCACCCAAACTGAAGATGTGAGCTAGTGAGAAGGAAAAGAATTAGAGTTCCGGTTGGTCTGAGGTGCTGTTGAAGATCATTGCAGAGATGCTGTGTTGACAAGTCTGGATGGTATCCATCCTGATAGACAGGGACAGTAGGGCATTTCAAAACTAGTATCTGGCATCCTACATGAATCTCCAACTTTGAGTACATAGGAAAGAAAGTTGAGCTCCCACTGGAAAAAAAAAAAAATCAAAGGGGACATTCAAGTATTTCTTTTGGAAATTTGTAACTTTCAATTTGTTCCCTGGGCTAGCTTTGAACTCCTGGAGATAAAGGGTTCCCCCTGCCTGTTTTCCATGTAGCTGGCATTAGAGATCTAAGAGCATATTTATTCTTTCTTCTGCAGCTCTGCCCCCACCCTGCTGTGACTGTACTCAGGAACCAAGAGAAATCATATCTATCTGTAGTGTCAAAAACTACAGTGACATTTTCTTT